TTTATAAATTAATTTTAGTTAATTAAATAATAAATATTAGTAACCGCTTAATCAACTAATTACCAACTATTTGTAATAATCAAACAAGTATTTTGTCGGGTCTTGAAAAATTTTTTTGTGGCTATAACCTTGCCTGGATTTTGGACCGTGGAATCTTTCTGGACCGTTTTTTTCCGTGAGTTAGCCTAAAAACGGCGTCGTCTTAGACTCATCAGCGAAATGCATGTTTGGGGGAGGGAACCTGGAACATGAAGTTTTCATTTTCTTTATTAATTTACCTTTTACATCAACTCCAATTTCATGGGCTGGATTTGCTTTCTATATTAGAGTTAATAATATAATTCATCTCATAGAAAAATTTCATAATAATTTTATAGTATCCGAATCAATAAATAGATATCAATTCATGCAATTGTAAAGAGGAGAGGCAATTTGCTTTCATATAACAAGCTGACAAAAAATTGTATCATTTCCTAAACTTCAGTTTTGGTTTGTAAGTTGAATTTATTACTATCAACAATGTAGCCTAGATTCAATCAAAGTATACACACTATTGTAGCATGGCCTTATAATTTATTTGAATTGAAGAAATTGCAAGGAAAGAAAAGGGAAGGAGAGTGAACGGAAGAAACTTCCTTTTTTTATTTGGGTTAATAATTTTAATGGAGAAAAAGAGAGATGTAATTTTTTTTTTTAATTCCTTTAATTTGGAGAGATTGTGATAGATTGTATCAGTTTATTTTTTTTAAAAATAAATATAAATATTTTATTTTAATTATTTATTTAATCAATTAAATTAAAAAAATTATTTTAAAAATTATTTAATTAAATAAAAATATTATCTTTTTTTTTTTCAACTTTTCTCTATCTAAACAAAACTAATATTAACCTCTTCTTTTTCTTCACTTCTCCCTTCTTCTTTCACTCTTCTCTCTTTCTTTTCCTTTACTAATTTTTATCCAAACATATACTTAATAGTTAAAGTAACTCTTTTATTAGTTAAAAGGCTTCCACACCTTTTTAACAAGAGTTTAAACTTATACTTTCCCTCCCTACTCTCTTCTACCTACCATCTTGAATCACTTGCTTTAATAGATAAACTAAAAAGAAGAAGAAGAAGACACTATTATAATACTGGTAACAAACTTCAATTTCTCACGTTGGGGCAAAATTAAAAAGAACTCTTTTCATAATTTCATTCAAATACTGTGGTATGAATTTACAATATAATCACCCACTCAGAGTACATCCGGTTTGTTTAAGAGGAAGAAGAAAACTAATACAAGTGTACAAGATTACAGAAATAATCTGATAATAACCAAAACCTTCCTTCTAAGGAAATCTATAATTCAAAGAAAAAATCTCTTTTTGATGGTATATAAAATAAATAATACTCCTTTGAAAAACGTTTTGAGGTCCATGCATCCTATAATCCAAGGATTAATCTCTAGGCTTAGAGATGCCACCAAACCTTGTCTACAATATTCCACAAGCCACAGGTCATAAGCAGAATGATTCAGATATTTGCTCTCATGGTCTCCATTGTGAATTGTGATTCCAACTTCCTCCTTGTAAGGTTTCTTGCAATTACTAGACCATTCTGGTTGAATAAAATCCTTGTACAATCAATTAACAAATCTCACTCTATTAACACTTGTCTATCCATCATATACAAATAAGTTTCTGAGACACGTTCACAACCTGCAACCACAGCACCTGAGAGATTAGGCTATAGCTGTCAGTTTCCATATCTCAGGCTCTCAACATCAAGTGAAATGCCTATTCTGTTCCAACTTTTCTCCACTCAGCAGAGCTTGCGCCTGGCTGAACTGCGGAAGCCAATTGCAATTTTCACATTTAAGAAGTTTCAACATTCTTTGAGACTGTCTTCAGTTTTAGAGGCATGGTACTGTCATCATCATCCTCAAGATCGCTGAAAGAAATATCCTCTTCATTCCCCACAAAAAAGGCAGCACTTTTGCACCCACCAAATTCTGAACCTTCCTCTTCTGGCCAATCATCATCATCATCTTCGAAATTAGGAAGCACTATCTTAGAGGATGGACCAACCAGCAAAACTTTTTCCTCAGCCAACACCGGTTTTTCCTCAATAACAGACTTGTCAACAAACTGCATCTCTGTATTTTCAACAGGGTGCTTCTCAGTCTCATATTCTGTTGTGATGCTAGAAGTTGGATCAGAAGCATATGTCCTAGGGGACACGGTTTCAAAGGCAGAATAGCTGGATGGGGCAGGAACAAGGTCTTCATGGAGAATACTACTGTCTCCTAAGTAGGAATCACTTCTTCCATACCAATCAGTTTCTGGCTTCATTTGATTTTGAAGTTCTTTCATCCACATTGCTCTGGCTTCCATTACCTGCAAACAATAGATTAACCATCCTGACACTTGATAAAATATCATGGCTGGCATGAAATTCAGATATCTGCTCAACATGAGAACATGAAGGATAAAGAACTGACAGTATCTTCAACCAAAGTAAACTTTTCCCTCCATGCCTAGAATCCATGTTACAGATTATATAAAGATCACCTTACATTTTGAACTAAACTACATGAAATACTAGTTTCCTGAAAATTTATAATGCCTTGATCCACATCCAAATCTAAGAAAAGCTTCGCATTAAACAGAGGGATTTATAACATGCAGCCTATTAGACTTGCAGGCAAAGCACCTACTTAAATATTTAAATCCTACAGAAAGTGCAGACAAAAGCTATCAGTTGGTGTCAATGCACATAACATATGGCATGGTGTATAAGGCTATAAGCACATTTAAATTGCTACACAACTTTAAACACCACTCCATCAGAAGTGAAAAACAAACATTGCCAAGAAGCTGCACATTAGTAAAAGGGATACCTGGGCCAGAGGCAAAGGGGTAGCTAACCTGGGGTGTAGACAAAATCTCCGCATCCTCTTTGTTGAGCCGCGAATGCAACAGAACAAAATAGACTTTCCAAAAGTAGCTCTCACTCATGTGACAGGGACATAATTCAATTCTCAAAGCCGCTAGTCTAGGAGAAAGGTGTTCAATAATCAAAGCATGCTCACGCTGGGCATCAGACATTATAAAATCTAAAACAAGTAGAAGAAGAAAAAAAAAGGGGCAAGCTCAGATAAGTATGCTTTGTCAGAAATCTCTAACTCTAGGCAATTCTACAAACTAACTTCAATTACCAGCCCAAAAATGTAAAGAAATTATATATCTAGCTATGAGATTAAATCAACTTTGATGTCTAAACAAGAAATTACCGTCTAAGTCCTCATCTGGGTCGAGAGGGAAGTCCAACCAGGTTTCTGGATGATGCGCAATATTGCTTGCAAACGTCAATACCTCATTCGTAATCCCTACTGCACAAAACTCCTCATTCTCTTCTTCCTCTTCTTCCTCCTCCTCGTTTTCTTCTTCATTTTCCCTTGATCCAAATGGAAGATAATCCGAAGCCATCTTCGACAACTTCTCACCAACATCCGCAAAATCGCCCCTGATTCCCCCACCCGCCGCCACCGATTCCTCTTTATCTCCAGAATGGTGAGATCCGTTCAAATCGGACGATAACCGATCATTCATTTGGTGATCAGGCTCCATCGGAGGCGGAGCCAGGAAGTTGGCCACCCCCCAGAGCTGGCGCGTCAGAGTTTGCTTGATTTCGGTTAGGTCTTCCTTTACACCTCGCGAATGGAGCTCCGCTTCTTGCTCAGGGGACAACAATGTCGATCCGGCTTCTTGGATTTGAATCTCTTCCCTCGGAGGTGATGATGGCAAGGTGTGTGTTGCGACGTCGTCGTCGGCAGCTGCTGAGTCCGATTCATCGTCGTCGAGACGGAGAGAATTGGCGATCGAGCGAGCCAACCATGACATATTCTTTGCCTTTTTTTCCTTTTTGGAATTTTTGGATTTATGGGGGTGAGACGTGAGAGAAAGTGATTGTCTTAAAAATTTTGAGTTTAAAAATGGTGTGACGTCGTTTTGAGTGATGGGGCAACCCGGTGTATTTCGGACCATTGTACGATACTACCAAATTATGTCATGTACAAGCGTTGAGGAAT